TGGAGAGCTAGGGTGGGTAGAGCTGGGGTGGGAAGAGCTGGGGTGGGTAGAACCGGGGGTGGGTAGAGCGGGGTTGGGTAGAGCTGGGGTGGGTGGAGCCGGGGTGGGTAGAGCTGGGGTGGGTGGAGCCGGGGTGGGTGGAGCTAGGGTGGGTGGAGCCGGGGTGGGTAGAGCTGGTAAAAACAGATCAAAGAATTGATCTCAGGTTCATTTTCTTCTGCCTCTGAATGTTGCTGTGATGTAGGGCACTCTAGCAGTCAGCTTGCAAATGAAAGGATGGAAAATCTAGATCCTTGATGCTGCCAAGTGGCTGACAAACCAAAGCTCAATAGAACTGCCCTGTCCTCGGACTTCTTGTCATATAAGTTAACAAATTCTTTGTCACTTAAACTACTAGGTGGATCAAGGTTTTCTGTTCTAAAAATGTTGAAAACATCACTACTACATGCCAGTGACTTGCCTGCCCTTTGACCATAAACCAAGACATATGCTCACTCTTCGTGTCGTTTAGGATGTGTGTGCAGTGCATCCCAAGGTGTTCTCTGCTATTCCGTTTCATTTTTAAAAATTCAGGTCATGACCCACTAAAGTGATTTCAAAGCGCATGAATGGGTCATGACCCACATTTCAGAGAACACTAAGTCATAGGGGATATAAACTGCAGGAAAGTACAACATGGTGTCAGAAAGACATGGTAACGAGGTGTCGGCACAGGAAGGAGCTGCCGTTTTGAGTTGGAAAGTACACTTTTTATTAGGGGAAGAAGGCAGAGAGCTGGAGACTCATGACAGGAACAGTGGCACAGTGGTTAGAGACACAGGTGCTTCCAGAGCAGTGGGTGAGCCTGGCCCCAGGCTGAGTACCGTTCTCAGAAGCAGTGACTGATGGGACAAGGGAATGTGGAGCCACAAACCAGCAGCACCGTCACCGGGAAGTGTTGGTTTCAGGGCATTTAAATGGCAGCAAGGGGCCTTTGGTTGGGCCTGCATCTCTTTAGAGGGTCACATAAGAGATGCTCCAGGCACCAGGGAGATGAGAAATCCCGTGTCTGAGGAGACCAGTGTCCCGTCCCTCCCCTGTCCCCACTCTGTCTTCAGCCACTGAGAAGTCACCATCGGGGTCTCCACTGAGGAGTTGTTGATGTTGAGCACAGAGCTGGCTTTTCAAAAAGTGCCCGATCCTGAACTTCCTCCAAATGAAACCAAGCAGGAGTGGCTGCCTTTCAAGCAGAAAGGCCTGTAAGTCCTGGCCTTTTGCTCTTCTTCTTCCCACTGCCTTCTAGAAAATTCCTGCCATGTCAGATCCTGACCCCGCAGGCTGGTGGGGCTGTACTGTTTGGCACCTCTACTTAAAAAAAAAAAAAAAAAAAAAGTGGTGGAGGAAGAATCGAAATATCTGGTTCAATCCGGTGTTTGCGCTATCTGTAGATTTGAATTACCCACATCCTTCCTTCCCTGCTCTCTCCCTGAAAAACACAAATTGACTCTTCAAATAGGAATTAATTGGCACTCATCTGTAACTTCTTTCCATCAGGTCCACAGGAATTGGAAAAGCAGAGGACATTTTCCTAGGAGTCCACCTACTGTGGATGTTGAGTATCAATCCCCTTCAAATCCATGGGCGTTTTAAAGAAAGACTCGTCAGCTTTCTAAAAGCATTCGTTCCCCACAGTGGCAACCTTGGTGCTTTGAGCAAAGCACTTCTTGCCTTTCTGCCTCACTGGCTTCACATGGATGAAGAAAGCCACTGTCTTGGCTAGTTTTAGGTCAGCCTGACACAAGCTAGAGTCATCTGAAAGGAGGGAACCTCAATTAAGAAAAGGACTCCCCAGGGCGGTGGTGGAACATGCCTTTAATCCCAGCACTCGGGAGGCAGAGCCAGGCGGATCTCTGTGAGTTTAAGGCTAGCCTGGGCTATCAAGTGAGTTCCAGGACAGGCACAAAGCTACACAGAGAAACCCTGTCTCGAAAAACCAAAAGAAAAAAAAAAAAAAAAAGAAAAGAAAAGGATTCCATAAGATCCAGCTGCAGGACATTTTCTTTCTTTTTTTTTCTTTTTTGGTTTTTTTCGAGACAGGGTTTCTCTGCGTAGCTTTGCGCCTTTCCTGGAGCTCACTTGGTAGCCCAGGCTGGCCTCGAACTCACAGAGATCCACCTGGCTCTGCCTCCCGAGTGCTGGGATTAAAGGCGTGTGCCACCACCGCCCGGCTGGACATTTTCTTAAGTAGTGATTGATGGGGAGGGCACAGCCCATGTGGGTGGTGCCACCCTGGGCTGGTGGTCCTGGGTTCTATACGAAAGCAGCTGAGCAAGCCATGACGAGCAAGCCAGCAAGCAGCTCCCCTCCATGGCCTCTGCATCAGCTCCTGCCTCCAGGTTTCCGCCCTGTGTTGAGTTCCTGTCCTGACTTGCTTCAATGATAAACTACATGTGGAAGTATGAACTAAATAAACCCTTTCATCCCCAACTTGCTTTTCGCTACTTTTTAGACAGCCACTTTGATCCTCAAGCTTACACAAAGGGATGAGCTCACATTACAGTTAGAGATTCCACCCTGGCATCTTCAAGGCTTTGCTAGTTCTCTCCATGGACTCTCTCAACACTGTGCACAAGATTGGGCTTGAATGCTGAGTGAAAGCAGCATTACGGTTGGAGTGTGAGACATCCTCCAGAGCCTCAGCCACGGGGTCTTGCTGCCAGCCCATGGACTTTTGACTGGATGCTGAGGTTTCTGGTCTAATCAATGGATTAATTTCTTGATGGAGCCATTAAACGACATGTCTGGGTCCAGGAGGTAAAGTGTGAGTTGAGGCTGGAGGAAGCAGGTCACTAGGGTGTGTCCTTGGGGTTTGTATGAATGAGTTTCCTGTTGCTACGAGAAAACATCATGACCAAACATGACTTATGGAAGGTTTATTGTGGCTTCTGGTTCCAGAGGGAGAGCAGAGTGGCCAGCAGGCACAGTGGCAGGAGCAGGAAGCTGAGTGCTCATATCATTAAAGTGAGAAGCAGAGACAACCCACGCAAAGCGGGGCAAAGCTCTGCACTCCCAGAGCCAGCAACTACTTCCTCCAGCAAGGCTGTGCTGATCTCCAAACAGTGCTCACCCAGGACCCACTGCTCAAAGACCTCAGCCTGGGGGGGCGGGGCATTGCTCATCCAAATCACTCTAAGACTCTAACTTGTCCTGGCCTCTCCTGTATCCCCTTTCTTTGCTTCCTGTTTACCTTGAAATAAAGATGCTCAGGAGCCCAGAATAAATCATTTCTCCTCCATTTAAGTAGCTTGTATCTGGTTGGTTGGCTTGTTTTTGAAACAAGGGCTCACTATATAGACCAGGCTGGCCTAGAACTGACTGACTGCTTCTGATTCCCAAGTTCTGGGATTAAAAGTGGGTGCTACTGTGGTGACATTTTGTTTATGCTTTAACAAATAAAGCTTGCCTGAAGATCAGAGGACGGAGCTAGCCATTAGTTAACCATAGAGGTCTGGAGGTCTGTATAGACGGAGCTGGGCCCCTTTTCAGTCTGAGGAGTTGGAGAGGTAAGAGGTGACTGATTGTTCCTTTACTTCTCTGACCTTTCAGCATTTACCCTGATATCTGACTCTGGATTTGTATTATTAAAGACCAATTAGAATTCACACTACATGCTACCATGTCTGGCCCCATGTCAGATATTTGCTCATAACCAACAGTGAGTGTCTTCATGGTTTCTTGTTCCTTATCTGCCGAGGAACCTGAAGTGCGGCGTCATCTCCTGTGTCCCTGATTGTCAGACCTCTCCCTGCCTTGTTCATCTGTTTCCGGTGCTCACACTCCAGTGCTCTGTGCACCCCTGCTGCTCTTCCCATGTCTGCGCTCTCCTTCAGCGCTCCCTCACCCGGAAGAAGGTCCCAAAGCACGGCCCCTTTCCTTCCTCACCACCCCACACGCGTCCAAGTCTACACTCCAAAGAGTCAGGCGAGAACACTCAATACCAAACCTCAAACTATCTTTCCAGCGTTTTCTCCCAACCTCCAGCTCATGTCCCAGAGTAAAGCGCAGCCAAGGAGTTCCTGGCACGTGATCTTGAAGCATTCCCTCACAATGTCTTGAAACACCCACTGGACTATTAACATGGCTTCATGAGGAGAAGAGGGCTTTGGTTGTCAGTACCTCACAGAGCCAATCACATGACTTGGATTCAGTAAATACTGGTTGGATGAACCAGTGAAGATATAAGAATTCAGATAGTCTTGTTTTGGATGGAATCTGCTATGAAGACATAAGATATCCTTTGCCAACTCTGTTGAAATACCTACTTAGGATGTATAAAATAAATCATAATAACTGGAAAATCTATTGTCCAAATTTGGAAGAAATGTAGAGTCATTTTAAATGTAGAGTCAAGAGGGAACTCAAACTTGGACTGAGCAGGCATTCTCATCTCCAGCAGGGAGGGCTTGGGGGCACCCTCATCTCTAGCAGGGCAAGCTTGGGGGCACCCTCATCTCCAGCAGGGAGGGCTTGG